TTTTTTTTTTACTGGCCACATGATCACATGATAGTGTTAACGAATTTCTCTCACACATCACCTTGCAAATAATAAGTAACATTGCATTCCTTTTAATTATTAACACACTAATGCTGGAAATGATGAATATGCAATCGTCCCTTTAAAAAACTTTTCTTTGAAATGGAAATATTTCCTATTTTAAAATTTTATTAAAGTAGACAGTTGCATTGATTACCAAAGTTGCAAATATGATTTTAATATATGACATAAATATATTTTTAGTTAAAATTTAAATTTAATGAAAAAAAACAGACGATTAAATTATACATAAATACGTATGTATACATTATTGATTTCATACTCACTTTTTCTTTTTAAATACTTGTAACATTTTTTATGTATATCTTTTTCAATTTCAATAAATAAGTGTAAGAATCACTTATTCCTTTATAATTATTCTTGTTTTCAACAAAAAAAAAACAATTATCTCTTTTTTCTCATTTATTTATTCCTTCCTCAGGTCACTCTACAATAATTATATACATTTTTTTCAATCCATGAGTTAAATAAACAAAAGACATAGTTGCTTGAATGGGTTGAAATTTTCAACTATTTTTATTTATATATATGTTAGTTGATAATTTAGTATTGTTATTTGATTTTGACGTGACAATGATAATGGTTAACTATGCCACACTAGATTGACCATTGATTAAGACCAAAATATATAAAGACTTTGTAAAATAAAATCATGAGAACGAAGAGACCAAAACATTTAATAAAGCATAAAATAAATGAGAATTTAGTTAATTAACCAAATATTAAAAGAGAAAAATAAGTGATTTTAGTTATTTTAACTCAACCTTACACGTATAACAGGAGATTAGAAAGAAATGACGACCAGTTCAATGAGAAAAAAATATATTAAAGAAATATTATTAGAACATGACATGCAAAATAAGATAACCTAACCCTTAAGCAATTACAAATAAGCAATCTTATCCACTGCTATTTATTACATATTTATTATCATGTGCATGTAAAATGACTTGAGTGCTATTTTTTTTTAATTCCTCTCACTTCTTACCAATACGTAAACATTTTTGCATGAGTAATTAATTGAAAATTAAATCCACAATTTTAATTCCAGATTTTAATATATAAATATAACGTCACAATTAATGCCCTTGATAGATTTGGTGGCAATACAGAATCTAAGGACCATTTTTTTTTTCTTCTTTATACCAATTAATAAAATATAAGGGGAAATTAAATTACTTTAAATGAGGTGACCAACCAACAAAAATTACCCGAAAATATAAAATCTACGAACCATCTTTTTCCTTTTTCTTATACCAATTAAGAAAATATAATTTCAAATTACTGATTGAGGTGACAACCAATAAAATCAACTGAAAATATAGAATCTAATAACTGATTATTTTTTCTTTTATTTTTTCTATACCAAATAGGAAAGTATAAAGTACAACTCTCTTAAATGAGGTGAACAACAAACAAAATTAGCATCTAAAACAGCATACCTAATTAATGCAAGTCTTAATTTTTTTTCCTGTTATAATTCATTAATACATGTTTGTTAATTGACAACATTAAAAATTTAACGACCATAACTATGAAGAAGAAAACTTTATTCATTGTCTTACTTCGTCATTCATCTGTTTGAACTTAATATAAAGCAATAGATTAGGTTAATGTTGGAAATGGAAATGGGTTATAGTGTATTTGATGTTTTAGGTTTAGACTTTAATGCGTGTTTAGTCTTATAATTAATTATTGCAGTAAATTAATTGTAGCGCAGTAGAAAACAAAGTTCAGATAGGGAACGGAGCAGAAGGCTTCATTCATTGTAATATCAAACACGACCATCAAATCAAATCGCAGTCGCAATTCACGGTCGCACGTTGTCCGTCCACGGTGGACACCCACTCAGGCACCCACGCACAACGTCGCCGTTTTGCGCGTTTTCTAAAATCACTCACTTGGTACCAATAAAGCGAAGCCACGTGTCCCTTGCCAGAGTTTTGACAACCACGTTGTGGACCCCAGACCGCACCACCTGCTACATCGGTCAAAACCGCGGCTTAGCTCAAGCCAGCTTGTCCACTTTCCCCTATATTTTTCTTTTATTTTATTTTTCCACACAACAATATTAAATATAATTAAATAATATATAAAAATATAATTCCACAATGATATAACCCCAAGAAAGAAAATAACAAAAGCAATTAGCACTTTAGAAAAGTTCAGCTTTGAGTTAAGACCTCATTGTGTCACGCATAGAAACAGTTACTCTCTCGTCTTTGCATTTTTGAGGTGGTTGAGTTTTAAGATTCGTCGTAATCTGCCATCGTTGCCGGGATGTGGAATCCACGCGCTCTCTCTGCTCCACTCGCGGTGCTTCTTCTTCTTCTTCACTGTCTCCTTGCTACCGTCTCTGCTCAGAGATCTGCCTGGAAGACACTCAGCGGTATAACTTGTCTCTCTCATTCTTCTAATGTATCCTCTCTTACTTCGATCTTTGCTTCTCTTTCTCTTCACTTTCTATTTTTGCAACCGATACTAACCAACTTGCTAGCAAGTGTAGGATCTGTGCGTTTCTTTTCTCAACTTTCATTGCTTAGTTTGAGCTGAGTACGGATTTGGATAAATGGCCAAGCTATGCTCTGAGTTGGCTTGTGGATAATTGATGTAGTGCTTCTACATAGTTTGGCGTTTCTCAAGCTATTATCATTTGTTAGCGAAAGTTGTGGATGAATGAAATCTTCGTCGATTCACCTCATAGAATTATGGTTTTGGCTCAAGATATGACATACACTCGTTTTTAACCAACCCATCGGTAGTTGATGTGGAATCTGTAACAGTTCCTTAAATTAAGCCATTTTCCAGTGGCGGATAATGGTCTAAGGGTGACTTGATAAACTTACCAAAAATTGTTAATATAAGTTTTGAAACTATTTTAGAATCTGGGTTTAGTTCTAACTGAACCGAATACTCTTTTCTAGCCGTATCACTTCACTTGTGAAAGTGGGATTTTCAGCATTAACATTTTTTTGCATGCAATCTGGAGGCCAATCTCTGAGTGAATACGATTGTCGACATAATGTCAAAGATTGTTGCGACTTTTTTCACTGAGCTAGGTGTTTGAAACTTACTTGTGTTCTTGTTTCGCAGGAGCTCCGCCGTTGGTTGTGGCCGTGGTGGATTTTCAGGGATGTTTCCTGATTCCAGTGATAGTGCATATAATTTGGCAGTAATAACGTGTGGACCGGATGTCTATGTATGGTGTGCGTGCAGTTAACAAAAGATTCAGTTGGGATTTGCCTGCCAGACATAAACCTTTTAAATTCTACTTACATTACTATCCCTTACCCTAATCAAACCAAGACTTACTTGGTTAATGGAGTAGCCACCGATGGCTATTTTTCTCTGGATTACACTAGGAAGCAGCTAAGCAGTGTCTTCTGTGAGTTTAATTTATTTAAAACACGTAGTTTTGTTGTTAATAGTTACAGATTTTTGGTATTTGATGGACTAAATGATTCTTTTCTGCAGTGAATGTGTGTTGCTGTCAGTTCTTATTTTATATAGTTGCTGACTGTTTGTTGTTTCTGGACAGTAACTCAGGGAGTATACTCTCGAACCAACAGGTTTGATGGCAATGGTTTTACAATTCTTACTGTCGATGATTTGCTTACATCGAAACAAAAACCAAAAGGAATATGGTTGAATATTCAGGTAAATGGAATGAAAGCATAATCCATTCTCATGATTTAGTCTCCTTGTTTGTTTTAAAACTAACTCTTGATATCTCTTTTATTTAAAGCACGATGCATTCTACGCAGAGCACAAGTTGAGTATGAGAAGCTTTGTGATTTCAGCTTCTAAAAGAATAGTTTTCAGTCATATCTCATCACCCGAGGTTAATTTTCTGAGAGGTATATCATCACGCTTCAACCCGAAGACAACAAAACTGGTCTTCCGGTTCATGGCAAAGAATGACGTAGATCCATCGACAATCAGACTTATGAATCTCTTTTAAGGAATCTTACATTTATCAAGACATTTGCTTCTGGAATTCTTGTTCCAAAGGAATACATATGGCCAGTAGATGATGCAAGCCTTTATCTACAACCACATACAACTTTGGTCTCGGATGCACTAAAGCGGGGCTGGAAGTTTTTGGATCAGATTTTGTGAATGATGTTCCATTTAGCTTCAATTACAGTTTATGATCCACTTACCGAGTACCTCCAGTTCATAGACAACGGTACTTCTCTGTTGATGGTGTGCTGTCTGATTTCCCCGTTACTCCATTTGAAGCAATAGGTAATTTGTCTATTTTTCTCCCATGTCGGATAGCCTGTCACAAATAGCATATATTTTGTCTGATCAAAATCCTGTTTACGTAGTGTACTTTTTGGATAGAATAGATTGGGGGACAGCCAAAAAAAAGATAAACAAACTCTTGTACATTAGTTTTCAAATGAAGCAAGACAAAACTGTCACAAAGAATGAGAGATGAAAAAACAAACCAACTTACCAATGTTTTTGACTCCATTGTGTTTGCAACTCAAGTTTTCACACTCTGAAAAGAAAAATTACATCAAAGAGGAAGCAGCCAAAATATCTATAACCAAGTTAAAAACATGAGACGCGGTTTTCGTGACTAAATCAAACCTTCATTATCCCATCTTCTACACTTCAACAGCCCATCCTTAACTCTATCAAACATTATCTATTCCGATCCTTTCATAACAACATCAAAATTGTCAGATTTTGGAACCATTCTGCGTAACTTAAATTAATTTTAGTCATTATGCACAACGTCATTTTCCATTGGCTTGCATTAAAACCATTATTGCGACGAAAATTCCACCGTCTCCCATACTCACAAAATTAAAAAGAAAAATTGCTGGTCATTAATTTAAATAAAAACATTTTACGAACAATACCAATATACATATATTTTCATACTTTAAACCTCTCATGGGTCAACTTTAAGCACCAAAAAGGTTTAACCTAACCAACCCCTTTTTCCCAAATAAAAAGTTTATTATTTCCAATCATATATATATATATATATTGAAACCACTTGGACAAGGGGGGTGACAATACATTTCAAAAGTGATGCCAGATATACTTTGTCTATAGTTTAAGGAATATATTTAAAGAAGCTTTCTTTTTTCATGGCCATTGGTTTAAGAA